GAAAAAACAGTGAGGAAATTCAAAAAACACGCACGTAGTCAAGAAGTAACGTTGCCCACACTACTTGACTCGACATTTCTATCAAGATTGATGAAACAAGCGTACGAACCATTCAGCTCCGGACGAGAAACATTCGATTTGAATGCGAGAGAAAGTTCTATCCTGCGCGAAAAATTCAAACGTCAGTAGTGAAAATATAACTCAACTCTCCCTTCCCAACTCTCTCTTATATTTATGAATGTGTTGCTGTAATTCACTGCCGGTCGGCATGTTGAAGTTACTGGTCATGTTGCTTTTGCGGTTAATACCAAAGGCCCAGAGACCTCTGATAATCTCTTGGTAGGACGAAATTCATCCGCAATTGAGGTAGTGAAGGAATCTTCCGGTTTGCTATGGACAAGACCTATGCCGAGAAAAGCAACGCGGCCACTGTCTACGTGGACTGCTGTAAAAAAAAACTGGCCAACCGAGTCTTCATGGACGATGCTGTAATTCTCCTTATCGTGACTACAATATAATTCTCCTTATCGTGACTGCAATAGCTCAACAGGAAGCATCCACCTCACAGGAGTTACACTCGAATTTGCGGCAGTCACCGAGAGAAACCCTGATGGGATACTATTCACGTCGATGTCGTGGTGCTTACGAGGAATGATAAAAATAATATACATTGAGATCTGTAAATAATATAATCAGTAAAATTTAGAAACAAACTATTTATACAAGTTTTTTTTTAATTTACTCGATTGTCCCTTTGATAGTTTCCTTGTGATTCATAAACATTGATCTTGACGGTGATAGTTGTTGATTATTCAATATACACTGAAGTCTATGGTATTAAGTTATAAAATGAAGATCTGGTCTTGTAGGTGTTTGATTCAAGTCATAAACTTATGTTGACGTCAATGGTGATGCTGGTCTGCCCCGAAAGAAGTGGGGAAGAGATTTCATTTAGATGACACTGAATTCTAGACACTTTTCATGATAGTAACAGGGGCACACTCGAATGCCACTTGTGACGATAGCCAAGGCGACGATGGTTCAAGCATTCTCGATGAGACACGTATAGCAACAGCCACTGCGATAAAAAACAAAGCACTGGATGCGACACTTGTGGACAATGCGACACTTGTGGTGACAGCCACTGCGATGATGAAAGCACTTCTAAATGCGAGGCTTGTGGTGACAGCCATCGCGATGATTAGAGCGCTTTTAAATGCGACACTTATGGTGACAATAACTGCGTGACTAGAGCAGTGGTAAAAGCGATAATTGAACGGTCGGACTGAGGAAAGAGTGCGTTTGAGTTACCGGAGTGGGGGACATGGATGCGAGTGGAGATTAGGTAGAGTGGGGGTACGCCATCAAGCGTACTCTTTCCTCAGTCCGACAGTAGCGACAGCCACTGCGACGGTTAGAGCACATTCAAATGCAACACTTATGGCGAAAGCGAATGCGACAACTAGAGCAGTGGTAAACACGATACTTGTAGCGACAGCCACTGCGACGATTAGAGTGCTTTCAAATGCGACACTGGCGGCGACAACCACTGCGATTACTAGAGCAGTGGTAAAAGCGATACTTCACGGAAAAAAAATATCCTTGAATTAGTATGTTGATACTTGATTTAAGTATATTAAAATTCTCGAGTGAAGAATATCGATATACTAGAATCAAGTATATTTTCACCTAATTCAAGAATTATATTCCCATTTCAAGTATTATTATTCTCGAATCAAGAATATCGATATACTAGAATCAAGGATATTTTTACTTGATTCAAGAATAATATTCTCAATTCAAGTAAAATATTCTCAATTCGGGAATCATCGGATACTTGAATCTAGTATCAAGGGATCGGGGAGAAAAATGGACTCCTGATTGGAATTGGTAGCTTCTAAAGATTAAATGAGGTATAAATGAGGGTCAAACGATAAATGGTTAAACGAGGCAGTGACAAAGGTGAAATAGCAAGAGTCTAACGTGAACAAAGAAACTTCAAGGGTGAAATATCAAGGGCGTAACGTGAAATCAGGTTACACCCTTCATGAAACTTCAAGGGTTAAACGTCAAGCGTGAAATATCAAGGGTCAAACGTCAAGAGTGGAATATGAAGGGTCAAACGTCAAGATATTGACGTGATATTTCATCCTTGCCGTTTCATCCATGATATTTCCCCCTTGACATTGCCTCTTATTCGTTTGACCATTCCTCGTTTGACTCTTGAGTTGTGTCTCCTATTCATTTGACCATTTCTCGTTTGACTCTCATTTGACCATCATTTATAACCCCTAGAAGCTGGCAATTCCAATCAGGAGTCAATTTTTCTCCCCCATCCCTTGATAATAGATTTAAGTATCCGATGATTCCCGAATTGGGAATGTTTTACTTGAATTGAGAATATTATTCTTGAATCAAGTAAAAATATCTTTGATTCTAGTATATTGATATTCTTGATTCGAGCATAATAATACTTGAAATGGGAATATAATTCTTGCATCAGGTAAAAATATACTTGATTCTAGTATATCAATATACTAGTTTCAAGGATTTTTTTTCCGTGTTGTATCGAAAGCTTTGGGACGTTTAGAGCACTTTCAAATGCAACACTTATGGCGACAGCCACTGCCATAACTAGAGCAGTGGTAAAAACGATACTTGTAGCGACAGCCACTGCGACGATTAGAGCGCTTTCAAATGTGACACCTGTGGCGACAGCCATCACGATGATTAGAACAGTGTTGAATGCAACAGTTGTGGCAACTGATACTGCGATGATTGGAGCGCTTTCGTACACGAAACTTTTAGCGACCGCCACCATGGTTATGGGCGTATTGACGGACACGACTATTCGATTGTGTGTGTTGAGTGCGACTTTTTGATTTTCTGCGCATTCCTCCATAATGAATACTCAGTTGAAAAAAAAGGAAGAGTACATTACACGCCACGGTGCCTATTAGTAACGTCAGTATCTGTTTCACTCACGGAGATGCGGCCAGAGTCGACATTCTACAGGTGAGTCGATATTTTTAATATTTCTACATTTTCATATTACATGATCTATCTCATGCCTTACTTGACTATTGTGAAATTTATTATAAAAATGATCTCTTTTCAAGGATTGAGACCATTCAATTTACTATCAATCCTGAAAAGGTGTGAGAATATAATGCTTGAAACATTCTAAATGTTTTTCTTCAAGAGATGAAAGCGATCTTGTCGAAGTGGTGAGAGGCGCTCCTGTTAATAACCGATTACCCTTTCAAGATACATCTTTAAGTGTCCATGTTCCAAAAAGTTAGAGTATTTGAAGGGTTATTTTCGGATTGAGAAACTTTTATAAATTTTTTTTTTATAAAAGTTTGATCCGCTGGTTGAAATGAATCGATATTTTGTGAAAAATACTCTGCTATGAGAAAAACTTCAATAAGGTTGTTTTGAGAGACTGATGAAAAACAAAATTTAAGAAGATTCCATTTTTCGAAAACTAGACAGCAGAAGTGTAAAACTAATTCTGAGATGAAACGTCAGATTTGTACAGATTATTTCCAAGAAAAGTTATAGAATCATGACATTTGGCGCCATCATGTTTCATTACTTCTTTTTGGTTTCAACAGACTGAGGAACTCCACTGATCAACTGGCTGAATTCACTGCTGAGGACTGTTGGAGGCGTTGGTGCTACGTTGGTTGACCTCTACACGTACTTCGAGATACCCTCTGACGAGTCAAACATTATGGCTCGCTATCAACGTATTTACATAATGATTGAACATTATTCAGACAAAGTATGCGACCGTGGAAATGTCAAGATGCCTGCGTTCTCGTCATCGGAGTCAGGTGACTCTGATGAATATCTACTGATGCCATCAGCATCAACCGCAAGCATCACCATCCGTGCCAATTGATGTGGAAAAGTCACACGAAGCTCCAGAAACTTATGGGCACTGATACTACTGGCAAATTGTCAATTTTTTCACTTTGAAATAGTACTTTTTGTTCATTAATTTTTCCTTGTATTGCGCTATCTACTAATGAAAATATATTTTTCATAATTCAATAAGGTTTTTGCTTCTTATCATGTACAAATTGTCTGGTCCTGGTAATAACAACCATATACCATGCAATGGTCAATGGAAAATATCAGTAAAAAAAGGACGCAGAGGGAGACAATAATTGACGAAATGGATCTAGCGAATGTAGAAATTATTATAAAGTTTAAAAATGTGAGATAGTGGGTAAAAAAAACAATCAAACATATGAATGAAGAATTGTCAACGAGTTGAAAGTTTTATTGGACGACTCCATGTGTTTATTTTCATGAAATCAACAGAAATAAATAAATGAGAAAATGCGATAAATAGTGCAAAACAAGTACAAATACAAATAAATCACACAATCATTTCATCTGCGAGGATTACGCAATCTGTTGCATAAAGACCCCAGTACTTCTTCGAATTCAGCTTTGCTCATAGGATTCTCCTCAATCTCATTGTCCATGTAATCTGTTAGAAAATACATAATTGTAAATGGTGGGAATGAGGAAGACATATAGAATTGCATTGATGCTAATGAGGTGCATGCAATGCCTATGGACTAAATCAAAGTGTAGAAGACTGAATCCAATTTCATTCGTTTCGGATTGTTTTTTGGAATCAAAATTTCACACCTTTGGTTTTCCTTAATATTCTCATCAATTACATAATGATTTTGAATTGTCAGAAAAAAAACTATCACGTTTAGAACATTTTATGGGCTCTCTGTGCACAGATTAGCTCGATTCAGACAGTTTTCATGGCGGCTAGAGTAGTAGACTCAGTACTCACCTCTCACAGCATCCAATACATCTTTAGGAACTTGTTCTCGAGTTTGCCCTTTTTGATTACGTCCTGTTCGAGTCATTTTTTTCAACGTTTCTTCCCCTAGAATCTCTAGGAAAAGCTTCCTCTCCATTTCCCTCGGGTCTTTTCTATATTTCCGCGTGATGGTTGCAAGCTCTCGCTAATCTATGAATACATCGGCGTTAGCCAGAATTTCGACTCTATAACCGCCTCCTCGATTCCAGGGATTTGTATTGATAAGATTGATACTGGGCTCTGTTTGATGACCATTGTTATTGCTGCTCATGTCATGATTAGTTTCTTCATCTCCATTAACACTTTTTTCAACAGGTTCATTATTATCACCGTAATCTGCAGTAACTTCATGCTTATCAGAGCAGCGTTTATCATTCAGGGCATTGATAATATCATCATCATCCACTTCTGCTTCACCGGCTTCATCCCCTTCATAATCAAGTGGGTCGTTGGGCAGAATGTGAACATCATCATCATCATCATCACCATAATCTCTAGCATCTTCAGGCCCATTGACATCAGATTCGTCGTTGATCAGAAAGACACTATCATCTATATCAATTACGCCTTCAGCATCTTCATCCTTATCACAATCGAGTTCATCTTTCATCGAAGTGAAGAGAAAAAGAGCATTACTAATATCATTTTCAGTATCCTCATCCCCATTAATACCAGGTCCTGCGTTTATCGAAATCACACTATTATCAATATCAATATCATCTCCAGCATCTTCATCGACATCATAATCGAGTTCATCATTCAGCAGAATGAGGAAAGGATCATTAACAATATCAGCTCCAGGATCTTCATCTGCATTAACGCCCGCCTCAGCGTTCATCAGAATCAAACTATCATCAATATCATGTGCAGCATCATCATCCCCATCAGAACCTTGTTCATTGTTCAGCACATCGATGATATCATTCATTTATCTAGCATTTTCATCCCTTTCATAATCAACCGAATCATTGAGCAGAATGAGAGCAACATCATTATCAACAGAATTCCTGGCATCATCAGTATTATCTCCAACATTTTCATCTCCATCGTAATCAAGTTCATCATTCAGCAGACTGAGAAAATGATCAGGAACAATAGCATCTCCAGCGTTTCCAGCCACATTAGCATCATGCCCATTGTCTATCAGAATGACACTAAGATCATCGTCATTATCAGCGGTATTTATAATTCCATGTTGATCTTCATCATTGCTGAGTTCCTGTACATCACTAGAACCAGCAGTAGCCGCACCAGGTTGAACTCCCTGGAGATCACGGTTCTCTGCATTCTCGTCCTTGGTCAGGTTGTGTTGATCATTCGCATCAACATCATCTCCCAATGTATGCGCATATTCCTGTTCTCCAGGATCCTCAGTACGACTCTCATATGTGCTCTCCTTGTGAGAATCATCAACAGCTTCGCCAGCCTTGTCTACTTCGTCCACACTCCGATCATTGCCCTGCCAATCCTCATCATCATTATCATGAGAAATATCACCGTATGATCCGCATTATCATGACCTTTGGCATCACTCTGACTGTTCACTGGTGGTAGAATTAGGCACCAACGGGGTCCAATCTCTATTCTCTCGAGGAAATCTTCATCATCCATGAAAAGAGATGAAAAGAGAAAGTTGTGGGGTGCTTAATTCAATAATGAAGAGACAAACACGGTTTTGCACAACATCTCAAAATTCAAGAGAGATTGCATTATTTGTACGGAGGATTTTATGATTTTTCTCTACAAAGCCATTTATGACGAAGAGGTCAACGTAGACGTTGATGAAGAATTGACGATAGCAGGATTTATCTCTTATTAATGCAAAAGACAATTTTACTTTACCACTCATTGCCAGTACTCTGCCTCTGTATGATCTACCATCCTCTGAGTATTGGACCATAGTTTGGCGGCCTGTGAAATTCACTCCGCTGGATTTTTCAATACCCCTTTCCTTATTGTGCCAAAAAACAAGAGAGTACATTTTATCTCCAGCGTTATATACTTTCACGTTCAATAGTATAACAACTACTTATCTAATGGTAATTTTTACATCGCAACTAATGAAAAAGAAATCGCTATGGAAATGTTACGAAAATAAATGAAGCGTTATTTTAAATATATGGCGTACTTCATTGGAATGCCTTCAATTGTACGTCATATTCCATTGAGTAAAAACGTTCAGGGAGTAAAAAATAAATAAAAATTTGGTAATTTCAAGTGGCCTCGCGGTCAGTTGCCTTGCGGCCTCTTACTAAATAAAAAATTATGGAAATTTCAATAATTGGAAGAAATAGAGAGAATTTCCAAATTCTGAAAGTTCAAGGTGCAGGTATGCGGCCAATATCGCTGAATTCGCCAAATAAACAACAAGATTCACATTATTTGATACTGGGTATCAATGAAGTATAAATTTTCACAACAATCGATGGAATAATCGTTTCAAAGATAGCTGAATTATGTAATTAACAACGGCAGTTTCAAGCTGTATGACTTTCAATTGATGAAAGGGCCACCGGTACTCAAGCTTGAATTTTTTCGATTTTGCAGGGACTGTTACGTTTATATCATAACTGAAAGAGTTACGGACTTTCTTAATTCATAGAAAAAAACTTTAACCGAATGGGTCCGGATAAATGCGCGGTTCACATTTGCCTTAGACGAGTGATAGGAACTGTTCATTAGTCCGGCCCTTCACGCCAGATACAGTGAAATAAAATTTAGTATGTATCATACACTCATTAACGTATTTGCGATGGAATGTGGTTCATAAGGACCATTAAACAACATGACTTATCACGTGTGATAAGTCTCATTTTGTACATGCATAGACACGATAATAATTATTCCAAACTCTTCAATTCTGGTCCAGCGCGAGCGTCATGAATCATTTTAGAAACTTGCAATATCTTAACCCTCTCGTACGGTAAAGGTTTACCCCACCATGCCGTCACTCGGCCAACACAGCTGGTGAGGGGGGGGGCGGGGGGGCGCGACTTTCAAATTTTCAGGGCCGTCGCTGGCAAAGTTCAATGTGGGATTGGGAAAAACATTTATAAATACATCAAATACAATGCTTCCATTCAGTCACAAAACCCATTGATATACTTGTTTTTACTTCCGAATGGAAGCTATGCAATCGTTCAATTTTGACACTTCCTAATTTTACCTGCAAATGGTCTAGAATGATCTGAAACGTAAAAATGCGAAGTTTTATCCACAGGCAGATATGGTTGTCATTCCATTGATATCAAGGAGTAAAATAGACAATTTGAAGATGTAACGGTGATCCGTCTCACCGCCATAAAACTATATACGGTTTGAAAACCCATAATTAATTCAATTATAGAAATATCGACAATTTTTCTATTTCAATTGACTCGCCAGATATTTTAACGTAATGGATACCCGATGTAAACAATTAAAACCTCATAATTTCTCCAGAAAATGAGAAATTCGAAGGTGCAAACGCGCTACCTCTGTCCCCAATAAATACACACAGGGATTAGAAATTCAATAAGAAGTTGAATTTCGCAAATTTCGACAATTTTTCTCCCTCACTTGACTCGCCAGATATTTTAACGTAATGGATACCCGATGTGAGCAATTAAAACAGCGTAACTTCTTCTAAAAATAGGGCAATTTGAATGTGTAAACGCGCTACCTCTGTCCCCAATAAATACACACAGGGATTGGAAATTCAATAAGAAATTAAATTTTGGAAATTTCGACAAATTGCATATTTCAGTTGACTCGCCAGATATTCTCGGAACCATCCAACCGATCGGGCTGAAATTTATTTACAAAGTTGATCTCAATAGCACCTACTGCGAGCCGACGTTCTAGATTTTTATCGGCAAATTTCGTAGTTAAGATGTTAACATAATTATTGAAAATGGAAAACAGAGTAGATGTTGATGTCTTGTGTTTTCAGAGATTTTGTTGGAGTTTTCCGAGCAGCTGAGAACTTCCTTCAACTATAGGAGAAAAATACTTATTCTAGCAAAAACTAATTTTTAACTTTTTCTATTGGAATCTGACCAAAAAAAATTATGAATACAACGGCCTAATGTTCTATGAATAGCTGAGAGGCTTTCAGAGTAGCAGGCTTTGAAATTGAAAAAAAAGATATACACCATTCATAGAAATATATATTATCTATAGAATTTCATTCGCAGAAACTCTATGGGAGCATGTAGAAGCATGGTAGAAGCAGGTAGAAGCATGGTACTCATGGTACCACTAGGAACATCAGAGGGAATGTCGGTATCGAGCAAGTCACATAATAGACTGCCTGGAACATTTTTTCAATCTGATTTTCCCTGATTCCGCCCTATAATAGCTAGCATAACTCATCTGGTGATGCACTCACTATGAATGTCGATAGGATCGTCGATGTCGAGGCAATTAAAAATTTTATAGTCCTGAATTATTTATTCCCTTTAAAGGATTGTGAATAAAGAAACAGTTTACTTATTTATAAACTTCACTTCAATAATTTTATTCTAACCAATATTTGACAGTTTAGTAGTTACATTCCAACGTGTTCCCCATTTATTGACATATCATACACACACAACTTCAGCCTAAGCAAAACGGAATCGGAACTGCACGGCCCTGGTTATAACTCTTTTTCTTTCTTTCATTTCTACCAATTCCATTGGTAATAAGCTTCCGAATGAATCTGTAGTAATTCTATTAAAGAAAGAAAAAAAATGGAAACACTAAATCCGCTCAGATTAGATATCAACAATGTCAGTGCAAATAACTGCCTCCTGATGAAAAAACAGATAAACGGAAATATCTCGAAAACTTTGTATGAACGGGTATATATGGTTTGATTGATTCGGATAGAAGGCAGAGAAGCGAATATCTTGAAAAAAAAAATTGAAATCGGTTGCGTAGTTTTTAAGCTATTGCACATAAAAAGTTTTCAGAGAAAGTCGAATATCTCGGAAACTACTCATGGGATTGAGCTCATTTTCAATAAGAAGGATTGTTATCATGAGAGGAAGATTCTCTTCAAATTTCAAGTTGATATCTCAATTTTTGCACAAGCTAGTGATTACAAGGTTTTTTATGGAAAAACAGAAAAACGGAAATATCTCGAAAACTTTGTATGAACGGTTATATATGTTTTGATTGATTCGGATAAAAGGCATTGAAACGAATATTTTGAAAAAAAAAATTGAAATCGGTTGACTAGCTTCGAAGATAGTAGCGAAAAACCATTTAAAAACGAATAGCTTTTTCTCAAAAACTATTTGATCAATCGGGCTGAACTTTCGCACAGAGTTAGTCCGTATTATGGTCTATAATCTGACAAAATTTCAGATTTTTGGAATAAGGTTAGTCAATTAATTACTCAATTTTCCAAAAATTGACCACCGGAAAGGTGGCGATGGACATTGACACCGACAGACATGGTCGCCAAACTTCGTATTTTTACGTTTTTAGACCATTCTACATCATTTTCAATCAAAATTAGAGAATGTGAAAACAGCACGATTACAATGCTTCCATTCGGAAACAAAAAACTAAGCAAAAAAGCTATTGTTCATTATAAACAATAGACGAAGTGGAATTCGTTCAGGAAAAATTTCACATGGACTTCAACTCTTTTCACCGGACTTATTTGAAAAATACAAAATATGATAATTATGACCTCTCATTTCAGGTAACGACGGGAAATTTACGCGAGTAGGCATTGGCCCCATATAGCCAATCCAGGTCCAAAGGGGCGAAAGACTTTGGCGAAAGACTTGAAGGGAAAATCCCGAAATATATAGATGACGGAGGTTCTGGAAGAAGCAAAAAAATTCTGCACATAATTGAAAGCGATTGCCGGTGCTTATAAGCCGCATCTCATCATTAACACCGACCAGATGAGCTGCCAATATCAGTCCCGCTTCGACAGAAGACTTGCGGAGA